CATCTCGGGTGCAGCACTGACCAGGTGCCAGGCGGGTCCAAGCCCTCGACCAGCAAGGATTTGGCTGCTCCTCTGAAGATTTCTATAGGCTCCCAGCGTCGACCACCGGGTAGAGACCCGCCCTGAGCTGGCCGCCAGTTCCCAGGTCACTTGCTGCCCACTCAGGTTCCCTATGCACCGGGTGCTGTGCCTATGGCCCTCGGGAGGGGCTGCGGTCACCCCACTGTACGGGCAACCACACCCGGGTAAGCTGGGCCCCCCGAGCACCGTGCAGGCGCTGACCAGAGCTCACGCATGTCAGCCACCTCGTGGAGACCACCTGAAGCAGAGGCCACTGAAGACAGACCCAGAGACCAGGATGCCCCTCCTGGAACCTCCCAGATGCACACCAGTCCCTCTCCTACAAAGCCCTCCCTCGCCATTTCTGGCCCACACCACCCCAACCACGGAGAGCATGCCTGCCAGACAGGGCACCAGCCCAGGGGAGAAAGACGCTCGACTCGGGAAGCAGCTGGGGCTGAAAGCGGGGCAGAGCTGGGTGGCACGTGTGGCCGCGGGCAGGCGACTGGCCTTCTGCCCCTCGGTTCCTTCAAGACGCCACCAGCATCCAGCTCTCCCTTCCAGCCTCCTCAGGAGCCTCACTTATCTCCTCCCAGCCCTCAGGGTGACTTCTCAGTGACTGGGAACAAGTGGCTCTAAATCTGCAATCCCTGCCAGGACTCATGTCAGTTCCTAAGCCCTGGCCACCTACGGTTGAAGGTGGAGTGGACGAGCCATGACCTCGGGAGACAGCAGCAGACACCGACCCCAGACAGTGGGTGGGCATAGGGGGCACTTGAGGGCCCCCAGTCCCACAGGCCTCATGGGTCCTGTCCGACAGCATGCCGGGACCGCCCCCTTAGCCCTGCACCCCACCCCGCTCAGGACGCTTTTCTGAAACACAAACGTGAGCACCTCATGCTTGTTCCCCCCAGGAGACCCTGAGGTGGCTCCCCCGTCTCCGCACGAAGACCCCGAGGGCCCCTGACCATCTCCGGGCGCTCCCCACCCAGGACCTCCTGCTCTTCAGCACTCACCGTCCCAGTCCTGTCTGAGTATGTGCACCAGGCTTTTCACACCTGCCACCCCCTTGGCTGACCCACCTCCATGTGTGTGCCGAGCCCAGGCCACGTCCCCTGGTACCACCCTTCCCTGAGCAAGCTCTGGCCTGGCTGCTCACATGTCGCCCCGCGACTGCCCTTTCAGGGCGCATCTCCTTCAGAGCCTGCAGCCCCCTGAGAAGCCTCTTGTGTGACGTCACTGCCTCCAGCCCTAGGCCTCTGGTTCTGCGGGAATGGGGGCATACTGCAGACAACACGCCAGACACATGAAGTGGACAAACCACGTGAGCTGCACCCCTGACACCGTTCCCAGGCCCACACAGCCATTATCTCAATCTACCCTCACAATCGCCCCCAAGGAAGGAACCGGTGGCCCCATTTTACAGGTGAGGAAACTGAAGTACACCGAGGTCTGGGGGCTGGTGAACTGTGGAGATGGCACCCAAACCCCAGGGGGTAATTTCTCAGGGTGCAGGGCCTCATCCCATTCACTGGTGCCCAGCCACTGCCAATGAACACTCACAAAATAAGTGAGTGAGCTCAGGCCCAAGGTGGTTGCCAGCACTGTCTCTGCCCTGGCTACGGCCTTCCCTAACCTGGCTCTCACCAGCTGACACCCTCAAGGAGCTGAAGGCCAGCTCTTTCCTGGTCCCTGCGGGGCTTAGCGAAACACTCAGCCTCGAGTCTAGCACTTACTCAGTGGACATCTCTGAGTTCAGGAAGGAAGGCTGGGCCAGATCACTCACAGACTGTACAGCCCTTACGCTGAATGTGCCCTGATAGGATGGTGGACCACGCAGAGAGAACCTTCCCTGCTGGGCTGCTGTGAGCACCCTGGACAGCACCTACCACGGTACCTGGCATGCAATATGTGCTCAGAAACACTGACTGAAAGGCACCCCAAGTTTTCCCACGGACCCTGCTCCTGAGGCAGGAAGCTGACATACCTGTCAGGGAATCAGTAAAGGGACCCGCTCCCACCCTGTCTCCCCCAGCCACACTCAGAGGCTCCCTATAAACCACAGTCACAGGTCGGGTGGGGTGGGGTAGGGGTGACCACCAGGGCAGGCACGCTGGGGATGGGAGGAAGGAGAGTGGGCTGAACCCGGTGCCGAACGTGGGTCCCTGTGTCGGAGTGAGGACCACTACTCCGAAAGGAAATCAAGGCAGCACCCCCCGCTCTGCAAGTGCTCAGAGACCTGCCTTTGCACGAGGGCAATTCCCCACTTCTGCCCAGCTCCCAGACCTCTGAGGGACCCTTCCACCGTCCTCTTCACTTCAAGACACAGCCGGGCCTGAATGGGTTTCCTGAGCTAGGTGGACCTGGGACCAGAATCACTTCAAGGGGCAGCCACTGCTGGGCCCAAGGGACAAGGAGCTTGCCATGGCGAGAACACCACCTCTTTCTACATCACAGACTTGTGCGGCGATAAGGAGACCAGAGAGGTCAAAAGGCCACCCAGGTGGCATGAACAAAGCCAATCACCAAAGACTACGTCGTATATTTCCATTTACATGAAACATCCAGAAAAGGCAAATCCATAGAGACAGAAAGCGGATTAGTGGTTTTCAGGAGATGGTGGACATGGGGGGTGGGGGGGAAGAACTGCTAGCGGGTATGGGGTTTCCTTTTGGGGAAAGGATGTTCTAAAAAAAAAAGTTCTAAAACCAATTGTATACAACTTTATTTGTCAACGATACCTCAACTTAAAAAATCCATTGTAGGACTTCCCTGGTGGCGCAGTGATTAAGAATCCACCTGCCAATGCAGGGGACATGGGTTTCAGCCCTGGTCCAGGAAGATCCCACATGCCGCAGAGCAACTAAGCCCGTGCGCCACAACTACTGAAGCCCGCGCGCTCTAGGGCCTGTGTGCCGCAGCTACTGAGCCCGCGCGCCTAGAGCCCGTGCTCCACAACAAGAGAAGCCACCGCAGTGAGAAGCCCGCGCACTGCAACGAAGAGCAGCCCCCGCTCGCCACAACTAGAGAAAGCCCGCGCGCAGCAATGAAGACCCAACGCAGCCAAAAAAAAAAGAAAAGAAACAAATGGTTAAGCCACAAAACGTCTGGATTAGGATATACTGTCAAAATGGAAAGGAATAAAAGGTCTGTAACAGTCGTTAAAATCTGAAAAGAATCCACTGTGGTGGCTGATGATTACGTAACTCTGAACAGACCAGAAACGGTTCAACTGTGCACTTCACATGAACAAGTCACATACGGTGTATGAACTACATCTCAACCAAAAACCAGTTATCAAAAGCAAAAAAAACCAAAGCTGCCTGAGGCTGCTGTGACAGGGCCAGGCCTTGGCCTTGCTCTGCATCCAAGACACCCCGAACTGACAAGCCGCCAGGGCAGAGCCGAGGCTGAGGCGTGAAGGCTCCACCTCGGGAGCACACCCAGGTCCCCCCTCCCTGCCAAGGCTGTCCCTGAGCTAAGCAGGCCCCCCAGAGCTGGGGGACAGGGCCCTGCAACCCCTTCAGAGAACCTGTGCACCTGCATGGCACTGTATCTCTAATCAAGACGACTAGGTACAGCACTGTTATTATTCCAATTTGATAGCTGAGGAGATGGGGACCCGCGGGGGTCGAGCCACAGCAGAACCAGGACTCAGCGCCCTCTCCAGAGCACAGGAGGAAATTCTCACGGGTGAGGCACGCCCACACACTTCCAAAGCATCTGGAGATACGGCACAGGCTACGCTCCTCCCACCCCACCCCTCCCACCTGCTTCAGACAGCAGGTAGGACTTCCCTCCCAAAGCTGGCTTGCCAGAGAACGGAGAATGGAGAGCGGGTGCGGTGCGGAGGGCTGGGGCGTGTGGACTCCAGCGGCCTCAGAAACCAGGTGGCCCCTTAACTCTCAGAACCTCAGGTCCCTCCTCTGAAAATGAGAGAAGGCTGCAAAGATCAGATGCAGTCGAGTGGTAGTCAGTATCCTACAAACATCAGGTCTCAAACTCTACGCAGAACAGAGATGCAGATACAGGAGAAGTGGAAAAAAGAAAACAGAAAAAAGAGAAAAACACTTTCCCCCGCCACAAACTCTCAATTCGCTCTAGCCTCAAGTCCTGACAGTCAATCCCACCTTCCACTTAATGGAACTTCCTGGAAGCCCTGGGAACTGGACAGGAGAGGTGGGTTTCATTCTTACTCTCTAAGGGGGTGAATATGGGCAGGCACTTGGCATCCAAATGCCTTGTTTCCTCATCTGTGAAATGGGGGCACAGCCATCAGGAAGGGCCATTTTATGAGAACAGCAGGGCCAGGCCAGTTGTCCTGATACAGCAGGTGCTCAGGAGGCGTTGGCCTTTCCTATCTGTCCCTGAGGCCAGGCTAGAGCCTGGACACTTCTGAGCAGGAGGGAAGGAACAGCCACTACCCAGGGTGACGGCGCTAAAAACAGAAGACCTGAGGAAATGCCCCATTTGCCTGAGTGACCGAGGTCACTCAAGTGCTCTGGTGGGCGCCATACACCCCGCCACCCCCACTCGTTGCAACTTTTAGTGAACTTCAAGAAAACGGAAGTGACTACCTACTGGTTTTTAGCGACCGTTTGAAAACCATGACTCTGGCTGCAAACGGAAGAAGGGGAAACTGTAAATGAGAAAGGAAGCCATTAAAAACGAAAACTACCTCTCTCTCTGCCAGCTCTGCACCATCGCCCCAGGTTTCCTGCTTTGCTGCGTTGTTCTCAGGCCTCCGACACCAGCTGCCCCTCTCAGGAGCCTGCCAGCCCCTGGCCCTGCCTGGGCTCAGACAGGGCCCGACTGCGGCTCCCACAGAGCGTCCCCACTGCCGCTGCTGCCACTGTCCGTCCAAACACAGCCCCGCCTGCAAGGGAGCCCGTGAGCTGATCCTTTATCTGCCACCCCTTTCTCGCCTGCCCTGGCCCTGAAGCACCCGGAAGTGGAGGTCAAGTGTGAAGAGGCCTCTGGGAGGGCCTTGGGGCGGCCACCTGAGATGCCCAGAGACTCCAACATTGGGAGAGGCCAGCTCAGGCCTGCTGCCGCTGCTGCCCTCAGCCACCACAGGCCAACAGGCCCCTAAAGAGACAGCGGCCAGGCAAGCCGCAGGAGGGGAGAACCTGCTGCTGGTTGGCCAGCCCCCAGCCCCTTGCAGGGCCCAGCAGGTCAGAGGACAGCAAGACCACCACCCTCTAACTGCCCCCCCGTCCGTCAGCTCTCAGCCAAATCTGAAATGTAATGGGGGTGGGGGACTTCCAATTCCAGGAAGGGGACAATGGATAACAGCAGGACCCAACACAGACCCAGCAAGGTAAGCGGCGGGACATCCATTTGGAAGTAGGGGCCGCAGAAGCCAGAGGAGAGGGACCTGGCCAAGGCCACACGGGACAATGGGCTGGAGCTTTCCTGTGGCTCATCCTTCCCATGGGGGGGCTGGGGGAGTGGGGAGGCAGCAGTTAGGGGCAATACCTCCCACCACTCTGGCCCTAGACCACACCTGCCCAGGGGAGGTGGCAGCTCTGGTCCAATCCCAGAGGATGGAACAATTAGGAAACAGAAGAGAATGGGATACCCGGCCAAGGACTGAGGAGGGGCCCGAAAGCTCCCATTCAGTGCCATCTCCTGGATGGGTTCAAAGGGGAAAAGAGCAACGAATAGATTTTGAAATAGCTCTTGGAAATCAGAGGGCAGGAGTGAGTGTTATAGGGTGATCCAAAGTCAAAAAGGCCTGAGTTCCAATCTGCCTCTCCAAATTCCAATCTCTGGGGCCTTAGACCAGGGACCTCACTCCACTAAGCCTCAGTCTCTTCCCTGAGAGACACCTCGCGGTTACTGTAAGATGGCACTTCCCATGGGAAGATCCACAAAACCAGTGTTCAGGGGGAAACCACGGTTCAGCCTGGAAAGGAAGGTGTGTCCCCACCCCCCAGGTACTGAGCCTGCCCAAGCTCCCTTTCGGAGCCCGGCAATGCGGGGAAGGCTTCTGGTTTCCACCAGGGCGTCCAGGCCTCTCTCACCTCATCTCTTGCTGCAACCCGCATGGCGCTCAACACTCCCGCCACACCTGACTGCTCGGCTGCTCCCTCTGCCTTCCCTCCAGCTCTCTGGGCCTGACTAGCTAGCTCCTCGTGGGTCCTTCAGGCTTCAGCACAGACACCACTTCCTCCAGGAAGCCTCCCCTGACTGCGTTAGAGGCCTTCTCCACACTTGCACAGCTCCTGTGGTCACACTACGTGGCATCCAAGCGCTCTGCGACAGGACTTGCCTATTCGGTCGCCTGCTTCCCGCAGCAAGAAGCCAGTTTCCCGGGACCTAGCATAAGGCCAAGCCCACAGCTAGAGATACTTCTCTTCTTTAATTTATTTTATTGAAGCCTAGTTGATTTACAATGTTGTATTAATTTCTGCCGTACGGCAAAGTGACTCAGTTATACATACATACACATTCTACTTCATATTCTTTCCCATTATGGTTTATCCCAGGATACTGAATATAGCTCCCTGTGTTATACAATAGGGCCTTGTTGTTTTCGAGATACTTCTTGAACTGATGAAAGCTGGAGTCCAGAGGGGAAAGGTGACCTGCTATGGTCACCTGGCCATGGATCCTGAAAAAACATTGGGTGGGTGGGTGGGTTGGGGAGAGACCAGCAGATTCTCCTTTACTGGAAAGAAGAGTAGGTATCCCAACAAAACTAACTACTAAAAACACAAAAGTAAATGAAAGTACACAACTCAGAACATACAGCCGCTCACAGTAGCAAGAAAGCAAATAAGCCACAAGGATACAACACCCAAGCAAGAAAGCAGTTTCTCCACTGCAGCACTACTGACAGCTGGGCTAGAAAACACCGTGTTGTGGGGGGCTGTCTTCTGCACTGGAGGGGGTCGAGCAGCATCCCTGGCCTCCACCCACTAGATGCCAGTAGCATCCCCTGAGCTGTAACAACTAAAAGTGTTTCCCACCGTTAGTAAACGTCCCCTGGGGGATACCATCGCTCCCCGCCCCCGAGTTGAGAACCACTGCAATGGATAATCCCAAACTAAATAACAACCCTAAAAGCTTCTCATCCTGGTGCACTTCCTGTGCCTTGTTTTCTGCTACAGGCTTCTACAAACAGCACGCTGAATCCCCAGAACCACCCTATGAGGACAGCACTGACGTCAGTGCCACTCTACACCCCAATGAAGTTTCTTCTTTACAATTCTGAAGCCCGTCCCACAACTGACAACACATCTTCCTTTCCAGAAACATCCTGCCTTTCAGGCTGGTGTTACCGGTAACAACTGTGTCCTCGGCACTGACGTACAGGTATGTAAAACATCCAGCAAGAAAGACCCTAACTGGGTCACGTTCAAGGGCCTGGACAAGCAGCCTGACCAAGGTATTCTGCCCGCGCTCCCAGCACATCTGCACCGCAGGTGCGCAGACTACTCCTGGGTTCCCACCTTCACACATCTGCACGTGCTGTTCCTTCCACCCAGAAGGCCCTTCTTCCCACTTTCCATCTGTCAACTCCTACTCACCATTCCTAGATAGAAAAAGCCACCCGCTGAGCCAGTCTCACCAGTCCCTCTGCTCTGTGGCCTCCACAACACCCTGAGTTACCTCTGTCACTACACCAGCAACGGTGACTGTCCGGCTCTGCCTTTGTTTCCCCCGGGCAGGGCCTGGGCTGGTCCCTCCCTCCCTCTGTGCCCTCAGCCGGCCTCACCTCACAGAAAGGGGACGGAGTGGTGGCTGCTCCACAGAAGCCTGGCTCCCTGCCCTCCTCACAGCCCGACACAGCAGGGCGCGGAGCCACGGCCAGGGTGAAAGCCTGACTACTCTAGTGTCCTGAGCCCAGGGTGAGAGTCAGAGCCCACGAGTCTACGAAGCAGGCATGGAAGGAGGGGGTGAGGCAGAGAGAGGGAGGGCAAGGGGTGTCCTGGGGAAGGGTCCGCGGGGGAGTGGGCCAGAGGGGAAGGGAGTGGGGCTGGAAGCCCAGGGGCTTAGGGGGGTCAGAGGGGGAAGACACTAAAAAACTACAGGGGGCACCCGTGGAATCACAGGAGGTGAGGAGGGGGGAGGCAGGACACGAGGTGAGGGAGGGGAATGTGGAAAAAAGAGACACTGAAGCAGGGGAATGGGCCTGAGAGGAGAAGGAAGGGTGGTCTGGAGGAGGAGAGACTAGGAGACTAGCGGGGCTGAGGGGGTGAGACAGGAGACGTGGGGGGCTGAGGGGGAGAGAGACAGGAGACTTGGGGGGCTAAGAGG